CGCCCGAGAAACCTGCGCGCCGAAGTAGGGAGCGGGAGATGAGCCGTGCGATGGACGAATCGAGGGGTGGAGGACGGACAGGAACAGGAACACGTGAGACATACTTCCGATACCAGCGCCGTCTTACCGACTATGTCATGAACGGAGTTTGACCTCCGAGCACAGACGTCGGCCCAAGCTGAGCCTAGCCGCAAGGGTTGTGCAGGGACAGGCGCACACGGCGGGGGGCGCTCCCCGGCGCATGCGCAGTCAGTCCTACATGTCTGGCTGGGCGCAGAGGCAGGGCGCCCCCTCCACAACTGGCCGGGGCGCACGGCGCGGTGGGTCGGAGAGAGCGCACGCGGTCCGCTCCGGTGGAAGCGAGTGTGTCTCAGGGCGCCCCGCGCGAGGAAACAGGATAGCGGCAGCGAGCGTGGGTGCGGGTGCGGGTGCGGGTGCGCCGTATGTGCGTCAGCGCGATGGCGGACGAAGGATGGAGGACCCACAGGAAGCCCCGAGTGCCGTCTCCATCTGCAACGGCGCAACACGCCTCGACATGGGCTTCGGATGGGCGTTTGCTTTCGATTCTTGACACGGGTTCGTGGTGGGGCCTGTGCGACTGGATGGTACGCCGATGAGATGAGGCTGTCGGGGCTTGCTTGCTAGTCATCTGCAGGACTCGGGGTACCTGTGGGCGGCTGACCGCCGGAGAGGGAGTAGTGTTGCAATGCGGGATCGTTCACAGTGTATGGGAGCATGGAGAACACGGCAGGTGTACGAAGGTTAATATGATACAACGTACGCCATGCTTCGGCAGGAGGAGCCTGAAATGCACATACACGTCGCTCGTCGCTCAAGGTGGAAAAGCAGACGGACGCGAACCTGCATCGTGCCCAGCTATGTGGAGTAGCCCTAGAGTCGGCCAAGAGGCCACGCAACGACTCCAGATGCCCGCCGTCGGACATAGGGTTTGCAGACCTGCTTACACGAGAGCAAAAAAAGCCAAGGACGTAGATCACGCCCCGCTGGCTGCCCGGGGCGTCTGTCGCAAGTGCGTCCGAGGCAAGGAGGTGACAGAGGATGTCCAACTACCCTCACGCGATGCGGCGCGGACCCGCATCAAGCGTGCAAGCCAGGGATAGCGTGATCCGGCCCTCCCTCGCGCTGTGTAGTCGTGCACGAACGGACGGTATTCCTGACCAACATCCGTGAAAAATAAAACCCCAGCAGGAAGGTTTCCGCAGAGTCATCGCGCATCACGAGACGCCGCCACCGGTGTGGTGGCGGGGGCTGCACGGATCGGGGGTGGGCGATGCGTGGACGCGAGGATGCTGTCAGTGGTCGGCGAGCACGTCATATGCCATATGCGAGGTGGCAGGCCGATGAGGACGAATGGATGCGAAATGCGGGAGGGATTCGCGAGAGATGCACGACGCGCGAGGGCCATAGGACATGCGTTGGGTGGAGGGAGCCATACGCAGCATTGTCAAGCCTCACCACCGGCGATCGTAGGAGGCAGGGCTGCTCGAACAGAGCCATCATGGGGCACCATAGTCGACTCTGCTGGCAGCCGCTGTGCGGGCAGGCCCTGGCCAGACAGGCGCTTGCAGTGCGAGACAGTGCAAGCTGTGCACCCGTCGTGCGACAGGACACGGTCGCGCAGGACGCGGTCGCCATACCAGACGCGCACGGTGCTCCCGCCGTCCCTTCGGTACGTAGATCCCCGCATGCTGGCTGGGCCAAACACCGCTTTCAGTGCCGATCCCTGCCCGAACGCCCACACGCGAAACCAGAGTATCGTCGTATGATATAGCGCAGACTCGGCATGAAGTGCGTCTGTGATAGCGTGGTTCAATCATCCTTTGCGCTGTGTTTCCTCACGGTCACTATCACCCACCATCGTGAAAGGAGATCCGCAGCAGACGGCTTCCTCGCAAAGCCATCGCTGTGCTCGCGCATCACGCGACTGCGCCGTGGGGGGATGAGTGGGGGTTGCACGGATCGGGCATGGGTGATGCGTCAATGAGAGGATGCTGGCAAAGCGTTTGGGAGCGATACGCGTCATATGCGAGGAGGCTGACCGATGGAGGCGACATGATGCAAAAAGGCGGGAGAGTCTGCGAGAGAACGGGTGTATGACGAACGACGCCCGGGAAGGACGGGAGCGGTAGGACGTCGATCGGACGGGGATGCAGACCCAGGATTGAACCAGTGTCGCCATCGGAGGTCGCAGGAGGTGAGGGGGCTTGAGTGGAGTCAGCATGGGGCACTGTTGGAAGTGGTCGACTCCGTTGGCAGTCGAGGTGCCGGCAGACCGGCGCTTCAAGTGCGATACAGTGGGAGACATGGGCTGTCGCGTATATGACGTCAGCTGGGGGGGACGTCGGCGATCTGGCGCTGACGGTTGGCCGTGGGAGCCCCGCCGTTCTTGCGACGACTCCTCGCCTCTCTCTGCAAGTACTACGACCAACGACGGCGACGCTGACATAATCACCGATCGGAGACCGACACTGTCTGCGCACCTCACCTCAACACCCTCTCCCAACATCCGTCTCCCAATAACCAACCGCATTGTGCCCAGGTCGGTCCTGCGCTCTCCGCTTCCGTCTTTGGCAGCCTCCCCGTCCTCCCTCAGCCATCCGGACACAAAGCATCTGAGCGCAGTCGTGTATCGTCTGCACGGAGGCGTGCAAGCAGGTGCGTACACCCGATCACTATCTTCATTCTCCTCGATCGCGTCTAACCCTCTCCTCCATCGGTCTTGCGCCGCCTTGCCGTGGGTGCGTTCCTCCATTCGAGCCCTATCGCGTGCGCCCCCACTGGTTTCCATCCTATTCTATCCATCGTCCCTTGGCCCCGCTTGTCATGGTCGCACCCGTGCTATCTGTCCCTTCCGCTGCCGCGCCCTCCCGTCTACAGTCTGTTTCCACCACTCACACCTTCTGTAGCCACATCGTGCGTCCCTGTCGAGTGCTCGCGCCAGCCGCTGCTCACAGCGCTCTGCCCACAGTACCAGCTCATGGTGGGCGGCGTCGTCCCGCGTCCGATCGCGTTCATCTCCGGCATCTCTGCCGACGGCGTTGAGAACCTGACCCCCTTCAGGTGCCCTCTGCGCACTCCCCCTGCGGTCCGTGCCCGCGCTGACCTGCCCCGCACAGCTGGTTCAACATCGTCACCTCCGATCCCGCAGTCATCTCGCTCAGCCTGCTCCACCATCAGCCCACGACAGACGCGTCCGCCCTCAAGGACATCGCCGCGAGCATCCTCGCCGCGCAGCTTCGCTGTCAAGCTCGTCTCCGAGCCCTTTCCACAGCACACCAACGCCTGCGCCGTCAATGCGCCCCTGCACGGCAGCAAGTGGACGCTCAGCAGCCTTACCCGCACCCCCAGCTTCAGTCCCCCGCGCACGCGCCGAGCAGCATGGGGAGCTCGCAGCGCGCGCTCAGCCCCGCAACACTTGTGTCATCAAACTGCACCGGTCCCACATCTTACATCATAGCAGCGGGGCGATCTAGTGCGTGCGTCTCGCCTCTGTCTTGCGCCGTCTCGCTGACACCACTGCCGTCATTTCCCTCACAGGATACATTCATATTGTGCACTGTAAACTACTCAGCTGCCCGGTGACTATCTACTCGGACATATGGCTTCCGATACTCGCCCATCAACCACCTCGCCTCGCCGTGCTTGCCCCACGACTGCCGCGCATCTAGACGACTGCCCCCGACCGCGCCTACGTGCAGCCAGCGCTGTGCGCGCATCATGGACTATCCGCGCATAGGCTGCGCCGTCAAAGTGCGCCGGGCGCACAACTCAACGGCGAGGGACCTAGCTCGTGCGCGCCGTCGCTGTTCCGCGTCATCTCACGCCCGCCCCCGACGACGACTGCATCCTCCCGCTCCCATTGCGGCGACGACGACATGGGTCGTCCGCATCGTCACGGCCAGACGACTTGGGTAAGCCAGCTAGCCATGACGTGCAGACGGCGGGCACGCGGGTAAGATGTCCGCTTCAACACGCGCGTTGTAAAACTCATGATCGCCCTCATCCGCACCCTCACACGCACAGCTGCCCGCAGATCAAGATTCCGGCACACGTGCTGCGGCCGCGCTCGCTCTTCTCGTTCGACGGCAGCGCTGTGAAGGAAGCAGATCCAGCGGTGAGGCGTCTGTACTCATTAGCTGCCCGGGTGAGTTGCCGATCCCCCTCCGCGTATGCCCTGCATCCCCCGATCATCTCCCATCAATCTCATCAGCCCATCTGCCCATTTCCCACCCCGCGCATCTGCCGCTAACCTCACCCCTCAGCTTCGTTGCGTGATCGCGGACTCTCAATTGCTAGCGCGTCTGCTTCTCCCGCGCGCTCGTATCCCCTCTCGACGCACACGACGTCAGCATTATTATCCGGTTCCGTACCAATCACGGCCTCTCACCCTCGGTCAAGGCTCAACGTAAGCCCACGGTGGGAAGGGCTGGATGCGTCTGAGCGATATGCCGCCTCCCTGGAACAAACACAACGGTTGCGCAGACGGCCCGGCCACGATCGAGTGCGTCATGGCGTGCGGGACGCAAACACCTACGCGTCGCACATTGCGGTAAGCATCTACATTAAAAGCCCATTGCGGGTCACTCACCAGTCGGCCCGGATGTGGGATGCGACATTCTGACCGGCTGGCCGTCAGCTTCCACGCACCCGCGAACCACTGGATCTCAACGACCTACCGCTGACCGCTTGCCTCGCTCAATCTACCCAGCTGCGGCAACGGCTCCACGCGCTCACGGTCCTCATTGACGTCGTCCCTGAACATCGTCAGCCCGGTCAGCTCACCATCGTTACGCGCGCGCAGCACTCGCCCCACGTACCTGGTATGTGCAGTCCCCCAGCCGTCACCTAGACCATCCCGCAAGATTGACTGATACGCGCTACCCCGGGGAATCGCCTGCAGCACACCTCTAGTGGCGTACACAGTGAGCGGCGCGATATATCACTCTGCAACATGACGGCACTTACCAGATCGGCGTCCGTGCTGGACAGCGGGCGGGCGAGACGAAGCCTGGCACAGTGGGTGGGCAAGACGAAGCCTAGCACAGCGGGCGGGCGAGACGAAACCTGGCACAGCGGAAGCCGAGTCATCAACAGTCTAACCACACCTGCCTTTATATCCCTCGCACACTCTTCCGACCCGTCGTCATTCCCACGACTGCTGCCTGGACACCCCACCCAGGCGCGGTGGCCCCTGTCTCGCATCAGCCGCCGCGTCGCTAAGCTATTACTCAGCCGAATTCATGACGACACATCGCCGCGTCCCCACCCGTGTACCCGGGCGCGGTCATCCTGCCTGACATGGACGGACACACTCACCGACGTGTGCACCCTCCGGCTCTACCGGCTGCAACACTCCAACATTGGCCGTTACCCTTATTGCTACGGTAGCGATGCCCGTGTCGCACACAGTGTCCCCGTGCAATTGATGCCGCGCCCGTATCCGCGCAGCGTCGGGTGCTAGAGCGACGCGCAGGATGCCCCGGTGTGAAGATCCAGCATTGGCATTCTGTACCTGGTCAGATGCCATCGGTCAGGAAAACAAGGCAAATGGCGACACGCACAGCACCACGCTCACGTCATCGCGGCACGGATTTGCACATCCCGACCACAGGAGGGGCTGACGACGCCTGTCCGTCAATCAAAACCAATCAGACGGGAGAGCCCCGCCTGCGCCTCCATGTTTCGGATGCAAAATCACGTCGCTCTACTCGTACGGCACCGCGCGATCACAGCGCATCAGTGAGCCTGGTGCAAATTCCTGACTTGGTGGTCACGACGGTGCGGGAAGGCGCGGAATCCGCCAAAGATGAACCGCCATCTTACGGCAGAGCGTTGTAACGTCATACGCGGGCACACAATATCGTCAATCTGCACGGTGAAACCAGCTGCCATACGGTGGTGTTTACTGTACGTATCCTACCCTACTCAATGTGATGTGTTCACGCCATGGGCAGCGTTGGGGGTGGGATATGTGCGCGCGCAGTCTCCTGCACTCGGTCAGGATGCGCTGCCTGTGCCGTCTTGTGCACTCAGCCGTTGCGCGCGCCCACAGCAGCAGCAGCATTACCACTCATGTGTAATTGAATCTAATATATATCTTCATGAGCGACACCGAAGCGTGTGTGACCATCCATGCCGCTGTCCACCGCACCGTCCACCAACGCGTGAGGTGCTGATGCGGACCCGCGGACCGCATGCAGCCCGTTCAGACCATCTTTGAGGCGCCCCGCAGGAACACATGGCAGCCTGGAGCAGAGGGGCGGCACACGGCAGCCGTTGCGGAGACTATCGAGTCGAGACAGAGGATGGGTGCACAGCCAAACGCATTGAGCCGCGCGCTGCAGCATGTCTATTCGAATGAGGTGGGTGATCGCCGGGACACGTCGAATAGCACAAGACTCACTTCAGTCTACTGTCACGAAACCATCTGCGTCGGTCTGCGTGCCCCGGATCTGTGTCTGCGCTCTCCTGTGCTCATGCCCATGCTCTGCACAATGTCTCCCCCGCCATCTTCTTTTCTATATGCACGCCCGGCCCACGACAGCATGAGCCGTGAGTAACCGCGTGGGCGGCGTTGCAGATGGAGCGCGCGCGTGCGCACAGTCTCCTACACTTGCACTATCCATGCCGTCGCGCGTACCTGTAGCAGCAGCATCATTACTACAAATGCGCACACAAATGTAAGATATATTTTATGTGCAACATGGGAGCATGCGGCGCATAGGCGCAGGGCTGAAACGGACTGCCACTGTCTACCAACGCGTAATGTGTCGACGCGCACCTGCTGACGGCGCGCAGCCCATCCAGAACATCTGTAAGGCACCCCAGCAGGGATGTACAGTAACTCGGAACGGAGGGGCGGCGCAGCCATTGTGTACATCATCGAGTCGAGTCGCTCGTCTCTGCACACGTCACTGCCCTCGTGTCTGCCATGTCCTGTCTGCCCTTGCAATCGCATGCACTGCCTATTGGTTGACGGTGAAATGGTGAAACAACGGGAAACTTACCTGCCCATGAGATAACCTACCAAGCGAGAGATGTGACTTGGCCATAAATAAACCGAAAGCTCACTGATGGCCAATTTCTGTACAGTCGCACTTTCTGCCCGCAAAATGTACTACCATTTGTTGTTCTTCACACTGTTCTGTTACTGACCTCAGACTTTGTGTAGACTCGCATTGGGCTGTTCTTCATGACTGGCAAGAACCGTCTGCAGCCACTGTCACGGCCATGGCAGCTGTACAAAACACGCTATCGACGACTCAAAGGTGCATTGCGTGATGTCATGACCGAAGATCTCCGTATGTATTCTTGCTTCTCATGCTCACTTACCAATCTGATGCTTGTCTAGGCGAGATTACGGGCAACCGATCCATCAAAATGTCGTGGACTGCAGTCGACTTTCACCAGCGAATTGAGCTGCCGTATGGTGTTGCTCTCGTAGGATGGCCAACTGACATTGCCCGCACAAACCTGAGCAAGATCGGGGGATGCGACATCCTCGACAACCTGCTTACAAAGTGGCGAACGGGCAAAATGCGGTTTGAGCTTCTGGATCCGGCAAGGAGACCTGTCAGGCTCGAGCTTCGGCGACACACAAGGAGTGATGCCGGGCACTCGCATGTGTTTGCTGACAAGAGGGAGCCGATGAAGCAGAAGCGACGGGGTCACAAGGTCCCGAAAAGCGCACTGATCATCGAAAACTCTGATGCCGGCTCGGATGCAGATACTGCTGCTGGTGGGAATATCGAGAGCAGGACAGAGTCAGCTGATGAGGACGAGAGTCGAATTTGCAAACGGCGCAGGCTGGATCTCGATATTGTTGATGGTGACCAATATGGCAACTCGTCAGCTCTGGAAACGATCGAGGATTTCTCATCTGATGCCCGGTCGCTTGCCGAGACGATTGAGGATGCCGATGACTGGGAGTAATACGAGAATGTGATTACAGTGATTGTTCCGTACCTAGTACCTACATTCCCATATGCCAGCATTCTGATATTACCTATTGCGACGTTGCGAGGGTACGCATGCGATCAGCACGGACACAAGCATCTCCGGCATGTTGATTGGTTCTTATACATCAGCGCGCGATGCGGAGACACCTGACATGGGCGTAACCGCATATATGGGAGACTGGTAGCTATGGTATCCCGTGCGATGTCTCTACTTCTCCCTGTGAGCCGTGCGAGCCCCGCTGCTGACTCCACCCATGACGACTCCTCGCTTCTTTCTACTACGATCAACAACGGCGACGCTGACATAACAGAGACCAGAACCCTCTCCTAGTACACTTTCTATAACCAACTGCGCTGCGCCCAGGTTGCTCCTGCTCTCTCTGCTTCCATCTTTGGAAGCCTCCCCATTCCCCCTCAGCCATCCACACGCATAGCATCCGAGCGCGGTCATGTATTGTCTGCACATCGGCGTGCAAAAAGGTGCGTACACCCGATCACTATCTTTATTCTCCTCGATCGCATCTAACCTCTCCTCCATCAGTCTTGCACCGCCTCGTCGTGGGTGCGTCCCTCCATTGAGCCCTATCGCATGCGCCCCCACTGGTTTTCATCCTATCTTGTTCATTGTCCCTTGGTGCTGCTTGTCATGGTCACTCCTGTGCTATCTGTCTCTTCTGCTCCCGCGCCCTCCCATCTACAGTCTGATTCCACTGCTCACGCCTTCTGTAGCCACATCGTGCGTCCCAGACGTGTGCTTGCGCCAGCCGCTGCTCACAGCGCTCTGCCCAGCTGATGGTGGGCAGCGTCCCATCATGTCCGATCGTGTTCTTCTTCAGCGTCTCTACCGACAGCGTCAAGAACCTGACCCCCTTCAGGTGCCCTCTGCGCACTCCTCCTGTGGTCCGTGCCTGCGCTAACCCATGGTCACCTCCAATCCCCTGGTCATCTCGCTCGGCCTCCTCCTCCATCAGCCCACGGCAGATGTGTCTGCCCTCACAGACATCGCCGCGAAGATCCTCACCGCACAGCTTCACCATCAATCTCGTCTCCAAGCCCTTTGCCCAGCACGCCAACGTCTGCGCCGTCAATATGCGCCCGCACGCCAGCAAGTGGGCACTCAGCGGCCTTACCCACGCCCCCAGCGTCAGTCCCCTGCGCACGCGCCGAACTTGGACCTCCTGTGGAGTGTCGCACTAGGCATGCGCCTGGTCGACCTCATCTAGGAGCTGCTCCTCATCCTGCACAAGCAGCCCTCTACGGGCAAGGTGGGCGAGGGCGCGGACACGGGCGCGGCTCAGCACTATGTGTACAAAGCCATGCTCGGGATCATGTTCGACCATGCAGAGGAGGCTGCAGGCGCATATCCCTGCGACGAACTCAGGTGCTGGTGGCGGCAATCATCGTCCTCACGGCCCTTGTACGGCTCGCGGATGACCTCGCCCATGCCCTTGTACGCAGCGCAGCTCACACGCATGAATGCACCAACGCTGATCCAACTCCACTTATAGATGCTCCTGTGCGCGGCGTCGCGTCGCCCGAGGAGCGGGCAGGCCTGACGGTGAGCGCGGGAACGGCAGTGCTGGACGTGGTGGTGCTGTGCGCGGGGAAGGGCGATTCGCACTACTGAATGTACGTGTTCTTGCTCGCATCACGTCGTGCTCGCATGCTGACTCGGTCTTGTTCTTCCGCTGGCGCACGGTGGTGGCAGGTGAGCTGTGAAGAAGAAAGTGAGCTCGCGCACAAACCACTTCTGACCGCTTTTGTGCATATGACAGCCCGGGCAGGGCTCGAGTGCGCCCGTACGAGGAAGCTGCAATTGCGGGAACACAGGCAATTTGCTGAACACTAGCGGGGGGACGTCCTAGGATATTCCGACAAGAAACAGGGGTAGCGGGACTGGAGGTGGGCATGCACAAGGTGAGCGAGACAAATGATTGCCTCGTCGCTGACAGCCAGTTTGCAGAGGCAGAATTCGCAGAGGCAGAGAGCCTGGGAGCATCGCACAGAGCGTGGTAGAAGACGCTGAGAACTGGGAGCAGGATGCAGCGCGAAGAGCGAGTGCGATGAGGGAATGTGTCGGAGTGCCCGGGCGCTTGCTGTGTAGAAGACCATCTGTACGACGTGCGCATAAGACTGTGATAATGAGCTTATCTATACGATTCTATACGACTGTGACCATGCGCCCGTCTATACAGCGTTACACACCCGTCTATACAGTTTTACACACCTGTCTATACAGCGTTATACACCTCTGTCCATGCACTCTTATACACCCCCGACCCTGCGCTCTTATACACCCCTGACCATGCGCCCTCTCGTCGTTTCCAACGGGCATTTGTGCCACACATCGCCATCTGCGCCCGCGCATCGAGACGCCCAAGACGATCATCTGGATGGCGCCCGCATGCGGGCTGGGCCAAACACCGCTCATTCCCATCGCTTTCAGTCCCGATCCCTGCCCGAACGCCCGCCCGAGAAACCTGCGCGCCGAAGTAGGGAGCGGGAGATGAGCCGTGCGATGGACGAATCGAGGGGTGGAGGACGGACAGGAACAGGAACACGTGAGACA